AGTCATTCAATGGCCTTTTTGGGGTGAGGGGCCCAAAACTGAACCCACTCAGCGAGGGGCGGCCTCACCAACAATCGAACAATCGGGGCTCTGTGCCAGCAGTGAGTGCGAGAGAGGTTAAGGCTGGCTTCTTTCCCGCGCAGGCAGCAGACGGTGAGAGGGATGGAGACGGGCTGCCTGGACGTAGGTGTCGGGCACCTTCGGAGAAAGCGGCCTCGGAAAGGCAGGAGTTCTTTCCTGTCTGAGCTGCGGCTGTGTGTAGATCTGCACGGGCACTAGCCGGCCTCCTCGCGGCAATGATGACAACAAACGACAAAACGGAGGCAGAAAAGGAGTAAAAGCGCTGCGGTCTCTCCCGGAGCGGCGAGGGCAGGCTTGGCTGCGGGCTCCGGTGTGGCAATGCCTCTTTCCCCGGGACGGCCAGGCCGTGCGTGAGCGCAGCCTGCTAGCCCGCGGTGCCGCCGGCAAGGCCCGGCCTGCGGGATCCAGCTTTGGAGGGACGGCGCAGCGTGGAGCCAAGGCAGGGCACGGGCAGACGCCTGCGCTGCCTGCAAACCGGCGTACCTACACCCCCACAGGGAGCCGATCGTAGCCCAAAGGCGAGAGAAGAGTGAGATATGAGACCCATGTCAGACATTTTGTAGTCGTCTGTCCTCTTTGCTCCCCTGGCACGGGATAACCAGAGTCAGAGGGAATTCCAGGCAGACACGCGTGTGCTCTGGTGCAAACACCCGCGCTCTGACCCCGCACAAAGAAAACTTCGGGTTTTCTCCACCACAACAGCTACAAAATCACACGTGGCTGAGCCGTTCAGCTCCTGAATTGCCGTGTGGCCCTGAACTCCTCCGTCCAGCCACGCCGCGCTGGGGGAGCGGCTGGCAGCGTGCGGTGCTGGTTACCGCCTCAGCAGAGCCCCGACCCACTTCACGGTCTGGATTTACCCATTCCTGTGATGTTTAATCCTAAAAGTAGCACTGAAAAATGGAACTGGATTAGCGAGGGAGGGCAGGGCTGCTCGGCACGGATCCTCTCTGCCTCCCCAATCCCAGCAACAAGCCGCCGAGTGCCGTGAGCAGGGCCAGCACAGAGCAGGGCAGTTTCACCAACGCCTGAGCCTTCCAGACATGAAGAAAAGGGGAAAAAAAAAATAATTTATACGTGTGTTTTTCAATTCTTTAAGATTAATACCCTACTCTAAGCCAACAGACGCAGCAGTCACCTTGCCGAGATATAGATAAACCCAAACGAGAAGTCGATACCCTATAATATTGTGTAATTACCTTAAATATTATATTATATATCGGTGCTCATTGTACCTCCCGTACTACAGATAGAAATTGAAGATGATTCAGCCTCTCCCCGCCTAATGGCATTTGGACATTTGATACAGAGCAATCCAATTTTACTGCTGCTCTTAATTTGTTCTGCCAACGTCCCTGCGACCGCCCTGCGCTAGCGTCGGTTTCATTCATTTAATTACAGCAACGGCGACCAGATGGCCGGATAGCGCCCACATTCGTCCCCCCAGGGCTGAGCAGTTAAACATATTCATAGCAAATATTATCCAGATTCTTTGAAACACCCCCTGCCTTGCCCTGAATGCTCTCGGGGCCGGGGCGGGGAGGGGGGGATGTTCAGGGTGACCCTCCACGTTTTTTTATCTCCAGCGCCTCCCGAAACACACTTACACAGGGTGGAATTCCTCTCCCTGCTCGATTTTCATGAAATCTTCGCAATTTTTTACCTGCGAGTCTGCAGCCTCTCTGCCGAGCAGGGCTGAGGACTATGCCTGGGGGATGCCTGACAGACAGACAGACAGACAGACAGATGCACAGGCATGTAATCATATGAGCCCCATTTCCTTGGGAAATCAGCTTAAAATAATAACTGGAAGATATTAAATCTGTTTCACAATGGGAGGGCAGGCAGGGGGAAGAGGAAGGGCTCTTTGCTCCTTTGTAATGTAAAGTGGGGTCTGAAATATTGCTTCTCACTGAAAGGGAAAAGAATAATAAATACGAGGATGTTATTTACGTGTGACCATTGGAGCTCTTCCCTTTCTTTCCTGAGGATACTCCACATACAGCTGGGGAAATTAATTGGGTTTGGCCAGCCGAGGAGCTGAGCGGGTGACGTCTGGGTCACCGAAGGGAGGAGATTTGTCCCTCGGATCCTTAAAAACTCCCCAATAACCTCCCCTGCTGAAGGAGTCGGAGGGAGAAGATGCTCTTGGGGAAAAGTTCAGGGGACATGGTGCGGGGAGCAGGAGCATCCTGAACCCTGGGGAAATGCCCTGGAGCCGAAACGGGAGGAGAGGGCAAGGCAAAGGCATCTGCCTGCCTTTTTTTTTTTTTTTTTTTTTTTTTTTTTTTTTTTTTTTTTTTTTTTTCCCTGCAGAAGCTGACCCTCAGCAGCGTACGGCACCACGAGCACCCACAGTGGTAAGCAGGAGCAACGGCCACTTTGGGGTGGGGATGTGGGGTGCCAGGGCAGGATGCTCCAGGCACAGCATCAAGTTGGGCTGAATTTATCCCGTAACAGGCATTTCACCCCTTTTAACAAGTATTTATAATCATAACCCTGTTTAAACGGTGGGTTTTGGTGGTTGCGTCTCATTTTTCCCACTAGAGCAAAGAGCTGGTTCCGTCTGCTGAGCCCCTTGCGAGAAAAAGGGGGAGATTTCCCAGGATAAATGCTTTTTTCTTCCTAAAAACCCACTTTTGTCTCTGTATGCCAAATCGAGGGGGGTGTTTTTGGTGCCTGAGGGAAAACACAGGGGATGTGACAGGGTCAGGATGTCTCCTGTTGCTTCCAAAATTAAATATTTTAGGTTTTCGTGTCAAAATAATGTATCATTTAGGAACAGCTGCTTCAATCCGTTTTTCTTTTTAAAAAAAGCAACCCACAACCCCAAAATATAGATAAAGAAGAAAAAAATGCCCACAAAAATAAAATATAGATAAAAGGAAACATTTCACCCCAGACGAACCACTTTCCCGCTGCCCACCCGCCCCAGCACAGAGGGCAGAGACGGTGTGGGGCCAGCCCGCCCTCTCGCCAAAAACCATCGGGAAAACGCAATTTTTACTGGCCAATTCCACCCAAATTTCAGAGGGACCCTTGGTCTCCAGGAAAATGCAGTTTTCACTGGTAAATTCCACCCAAATTTCAGAGGGGCACTTGGTCTCTGAGAAAACCAAGCATCTGGATGCCTCACACTCCAGATGTGTATAAGAGACAGGTGCCAGCAGTGAGTGCGAGAGAGGTTAAGGCTGGCTTCTTTCCCGCGCAGGCAGCAGACGGTGAGAGGGATGGAGACGGGCTGCCTGGACGTAGGTGTCGGGCACCTTCGGAGAAAGCGGCCTCGGAAAGGCAGGAGTTCTTTCCTGTCTGAGCTGCGGCTGCGTGTAGATCTGCACGGGCACTAGCCGGCCTCCTCGCGGCAATGATGACAACAAACGACAAAACGGAGGCAGAAAAGGAGTAAAAGCGCTGCGGTCTCTCCCGGAGCGGCGAGGGCAGGCTTGGCTGCGGGCTCCGGTGTGGCAATGCCTCTTTCCCCGGGACGGCCAGGCCGTGCGTGAGCGCAGCCTGCTAGCCCGCGGTGCCGCCGGCAAGGCCCGGCCTGCGGGATCCAGCTTTGGAGGGACGGCGCAGCGTGGAGCCAAGGCAGGGCACGGGCAGACGCCTGCGCTGCCTGCAAACCGGCGTACCTACACCCCCACAGGGAGCCGATCGTAGCCCAAAGGCGAGAGAAGAGTGAGATATGAGACCCATGTCAGACATTTTGTAGTCGTCTGTCCTCTTTGCTCCCCTGGCACGGGATAACCAGAGTCAGAGGGAATTCCAGGCAGACACGCGTGTGCTCTGGTGCAAACACCCGCGCTCTGACCCCGCACAAAGAAAACTTCGGGTTTTCTCCACCACAACAGCTACAAAATCACACGTGGCTGAGCCGTTCAGCTCCTGAATTGCCGTGTGGCCCTGAACTCCTCCGTCCAGCCACGCCGCGCTGTGGGAGCGGCTGGCAGCGTGCGGTGCTGGTTACCGCCTCAGCAGAGCCCCGACCCACTTCACGGTCTGGATTTACCCATTCCTGTGATGTTTAATCCTAAAAGTAGCACTGAAAAATGGAACTGGATTAGCGAGGGAGGGCAGGGCTGCTCGGCACGGATCCTCTCTGCCTCCCCAATCCCAGCAACAAGCCGCCGAGTGCCGTGAGCAGGGCCAGCACAGAGCAGGGCAGTTTCACCAACGCCTGAGCCTTCCAGACATGAAGAAAAGGGGAAAAAAAAAATAATTTATACGTGTGTTTTTCAATTCTTTAAGATTAATACCCTACTCTAAGCCAACAGACGCAGCAGTCACCTTGCCGAGATATAGATAAACCCAAACGAGAAGTCGATACCCTATAATATTGTGTAATTACCTTAAATATTATATTATATATCGGTGCTCATTGTACCTCCCG